TCTAAATTATTAAACACCTGCACATTTGAAATATAGTGCTGTCCAGAGACTAACTGGAAACCATTACCGAAACACTCAGCAGAAGAGATGAAGCCCAGGAATGTGCTGTGTGTGATATAACGTCATCACGTGGTTTGTCTGAAAGGAAGAAATAGAGCCATTCCTCTGCTTTGATCACTGCTGCTCTCGCTCCTTCTTGCTGCATCTGTCATTCCCCTCCATCCCTGCACAGAGCTGTTGCCATAGCGATGGGTTGCCAGGTTTCAGTCTGTGAGGCTGAATGGGTTAATGAGAAGGCGGAGCATTTGCTGCACTCCAGATGGTAGTAAGCCCTCCTTCACCACAGGTCTCCAGGGACCTCCCATGAAAGAGAAAGCCTCTCCTCTTTTTAGTATTCACCCCCATCGCTGCTGCATTTCTGACCCCATGACAATGTCGGATTATGCAAAGTGTGAAAGAAAAGCTGGGCTCTCATCTTTGGCTCTTTTCTGCTGAGAAAGGCTCATATGAGATGTTTTCATTAACCACTGATCTGGGTAAAGGAGAAACTGACAGCACAACCTCCAGCCAACCGAATAAAAGCGGGACTGTAAATTGTTTTTCTGAATCCACCGCCTCACATCGTCCCCTGTAAACGCTCGTGTTTACTCTGAGTGCAGGAAGCCATCTTGGACTGTTTTTTTAATGAAGAACTGTGTTAGCAGCACCCCCAAGTGTCTGAGTCTATACAGGACGTGTTTATTGTCTCACCACTTAGAGCACAAATTATGTGTCAGTAAACACAATAGATAACAGACAGCAAAAAATAGCATAAATAACATGATTTAAAGAGGCAGCTATGAACACGTTTGACTATAAGAATAGGATACAGAGACCAACACTTGCATAGTTACTTGGTATCTGATTCTCTGCAGTCATTAAATATGTCATGCATGAAATATTGATAGTTTCTACATTTGACATCGCTGTATACAACCACTCTATCGTTTGAATATCTTAATTATACAAAGAAGGTGCAGGTAGAATTTAAATTCAAACTGTACATAATAGTTTCATGTACACGATAAAGGGTGAATGGTGCAACAGTGACACATGGTGGCAGGTGTGGTGTAAAAGCAGCGACAGCACGTCTAATCTCTTCTAATTGTGTGCCTGTGGGTGCAGGGGCTGTCATTAGGTGTTATAGGCAAGGTAGGTGAACTTCTCCTCTTTGGGTTTGACGTTAAAATTGTAGTGTCCGATGCGGTTCCTCTGGCAGTAGAAGAGGCAGGCGAGGGAACAGATGAAGAAGAGCGACAAGCAAATTCCCAGAATGGAAAGCCCAACTACATTTAGAGTGCTCAGCTCCTTATCCAAGGGCTCTGCAGGAATATATGAACCAAGGCTGAAGAAGTACAAACATGCAGACAAGCAGTATATGATGACAGAAATACCAAAACTTTACTCACTGGCTCTTAAAACAAACGTTTCCAGCTCCCTTACATAAAAATAATGTTTAAAAAAATGTTCCCCTCGTGAGTGTGTCATGATAAAAGCAGCCAACCCTTTCCTAGCGATGGCTAGTTAAGAACATGGATAGATGGATAAATGTTTTCCATCAAGCTAGTTGAACTTTCCTCTCCACCACACTGATAATAGCGACAGCTGCACTACTGACTTAATTCAACAGCTATAGATGGCCCATTTAAATGCTGAGATGAAGTGAGAGCCAGATTTATAATGGCCACTGAAGATTTAAATAGCTTTTCTACTTTTAAAACGGTCTGTGTTGAGTGGAAGCTGAAGTGTCATTACACTTCCAACTGAAGCACAAAAGAAGCATCCAGGTGAAATCAGCCGTGCTCCAACACTGGAGCGGAGTGTTTTCAAAGCAGATACTGTGTAAAAATACACACCTTCATCTGAATTCATCAGAGGCTCAGCTGAACCGAACCTTGTTCCAAGTGCATTTACAGATCGAGCTGTTCTCTGGTGACAGTCCTGCAACAAAACGTGAGCCGAGTTTATGTTGCATCAACTGCTTTTAGTCTAAGCAGGGTCAAAGCTGCAGGGTTGCATGAAATGTATTGTGGAGTAGAAAGCACTCACTGGCACGCAGCTATTCGACTCAGTCTGCAGGCAGATCTGAACCTTGCAGTGCACATAGATCACCTTCAGGTTGACAAAGGAGAAGATCTGCACGGACAGACGGGACGTGCTGGAGTTCCCGTTCATCATCACTTTGGTGAATGCATTCAGGGAACAGCTGTGGAGACACAGACAGTGGGGCTGACTGATGAACTTAACTGCACCTGATCAAAAACTATTATTAGAAAGCATCGTGCTAAATATATAGACAGCTGAATAATCTGCTGGTTCTCTTATTATCGCTTTGCAGAAGGCTTTAACACAGATTTAGCTACCGCACTGACTCATTGTCACTTTTGATGGCACTTTTTTTTTCTTACATCCTGCTCAAAGATGAATTTCATTTGAATGGAGGGACCTTTAGCTGTGAATCAGAAAATGCCTTCTCGTCAACACTGCTGCATGTGGGAGATTTTGGGGGGGAGGGTTCAGTAGATGATATCGTGACCACCACATTTTCCATGTCCCTGCCATACATCCAAGTACCAGGTGTTTGAAACTGATCACTAGAAAACAAATATTGTAAATATGAAGCTGGAGATTCTAAGTTTGCTCGTAGAAATGGAAAAAAAGGTGATGCGAACAGACACAGTAACAAAACTGGCCCACTGGCAACTATGCAGCTCATTAATTCATATAATTTAGTTCATTTGTTTCACAAATGCCTCCGCTGACACGTGTTTTGCAGTGAGACAATGGGAGTCAGATTTTCTTGTATCTGAATGGGGCTAGGCTAGCTAGCTTTACGCTTATATGTGCATCAGATTTACGTGGTAACTTACAACATAACCGCAACTTCATCTTAACTGTATGCCTATTTAACCTGACGTGCACCTCCCATAGAACGTAACTACACAATGGCTCAATGCATACTTGAATGTTGTGTTGCAGGGATTAAAAGAAGTTTCCAGACTTCCAGCAGAAGCAGAAGCTAAGCTAACCTCCTGCTGACTGTAGCTTTAGACAGTAACTAACAAAATGAGCAACACAATATGAATCCTTGTCTTGTTCTGTCTTTGTAATGATAAAAGAATGGAAGGGCCTGGTTTCAGGCCTTGTGAAAGACTTCCTTTTAGGGAGGGGAAGAAGTGTTTTTATGTGTCACCCCACAGAAGCTGGTCACATTTGCATCTTGTTTTAAAAAGTGTGAAGCCCCAAGTTAATCATATGCTGACTAATGAAGCTACCTACCTATCATTTCTATCATCCAGAACAAGTTTTCCTATCAACTTAAAACCACAGATGTTTATTCGTTGAGACACAAACTGTCAGGAACTTAATTTGTAGAGTTTTGGCTTTTTAAATGACACATTTTTATATAACGTGTGTTACCAATGCACATGTTGGCCAAGCCAACCCCATCTGAGATCTTAACTCCAGATTAAAGTTGTCTGAGTTAACAATAATCATAGTGGTAACAGTATGAGTAAGCTAAAGAAAGCTGTAGCTGGGAAACAGACCTTTTCTCCAGGAAGACATGGCTGTAGGCGTCTACGGGGTTTGGGGTGGGAGTGCACCAGCACTTGCTGATGACTACTTTAATGTGATCTGAAGAGGTGTTGAGTCTGACCTCCACTACCACGGGCTGCTCACGGGACAGGCTGTAGTTGTAGGGCAGAGGCACTGCACTGTCCAACAGATGCACGCTCATCTGCAATGACCCCGATCCTGTGATTTTAATTATGTCATACCTGGATATGGATGGGAATGAATTGTAGGTATAATGAATACAATATAAACTATACAAAATATTAAAAATGAAATGTTTATCAGTTTATGCTACTAATGCACAATATAACTGCATTCAGTGAAAGTGGGACATGAGAGTTTAAGTGAAGTAAATAAGCTAAACACCTACAGTGGGGCAAAAAAGTATTTAGTCAGCCACCGATTGTGCAAGTTCCCCCACTTAAAATGATGACAGAGGTCAGTAATTTGCACCAGAGGTACACTT